TTTTTTTTTGTGAAATTTGATGTTAATAAAATGATACCAGGAGCATATCATTCCACAGTCATTTATCTCCCCCAAAGTATTGGTTCAGTAGGGGTGACACTTCTATTGTCCATTGTGTGTATATTCATTGCAGTGAAAGACACCAGTGACCCGTGCCTGGACAGTAACTGTACATACGGCTGTGTTAACAACAATGGGAAGTTTGAGTGCACCTGTCCACCTCATATGGTCAAGTCTGGGGACAGCTGTGGTCAGTTACATTGAATTATATATGAATTATATTGAATGTGATAACAAAATACGTTAAGAAGCTAGTTTTTATCATTTTTGTGACTGTATTAAGGAAACCATTGTAGAATACAACTTAGACATTGTGTTTTTGTATTTATTTGTTTTTTGTTATATTTGGTTCTGGTAAATTTTCCTAGGACTTATAAAGCTAAAATTTTGTCGTATATGAAATGTATATTAGTCAATCGATTTTGTTTGTTACTTGGATAATGATAGCCAGACAGAATGGCAAATATGGTCTTATAATTATGAGGGAATCATCACTGTCTGTTCGATTTTTACTGCGTTTCTCCGTTTTCTAACTTTTACATTCTTCGCCGTACTAGTGTTGCCGTGCCAAGTCAACAACCCTGGCTGCAGCCATGAATGCGTCAACCAAGCTGATGGCACAACTTCTTGTCGCTGTCCATTTTACCTCACCCTGGGCGCAGACAACATAACGTGCAGTGAGTAGAAAGGTTTATGTATACATTTGCACTGGTACCATTTTCATTATTTAAATCTAAAAATCGAGAATTGCAGGGCCGTAGCCTCCGGGGGGGGCAGGGGGGGCAGCTGCCCCCCCTGGGATTTGAGGTGCAAAAAAAAAAAAAAATAAATAAATAATCGCAAAGGTAAAAAAAAATAAATAATTGCAAAGTTGGTATCAATTCTGTGAGAAAATACAGTCATGGCCACTAGACAATCATTCAACAATCTGTTTACAAAGGTGTACTGTTTTAGCCAACTCAGTTCATGCCGAAAAGTCCAGTTGGCATGTTGTGTTGAAAAAATGACTGTACTTATGGCAAAATGAACCCACAATTTCTGACTTCTGATTGAGCAATAAATAACAGTTAAAATGCACCAGAATGCAGTATTATACATACAGTTTAAAAAATTTTTCCACACCATGGGAGGGGGACACCCCCTCCCACACCCTCCCTCCTCGGGGGCTTCGCCCCCTTGTTTCCGCTTACTGCCCCCCCTGGCATTTTGCTCAGGCTACGGCCCTGAATTGTATATTCTGAGAATTTTGACTCATGGTTAAAAGTGTTTTAAATATTTTCAGTAAGCAAGTGCCAGACCAACAATGGCGGATGCAGTGATTATTGCCACGAAGACGGACAAGGCGATGTCGCCTGTAGTTGTCCGGCAAATCTGGTACTCGCCAGCGACAGGAAAACGTGCAGTATGGACATTCACATATAGTTCAGTGCACTATGTTTAAACGTCTCATAAGATATAATTTAAGTCACATTTTATTCAAAATATAAGACTTCTACGTCTCTATCAAAACTTATCTCTTAGTCACTAAGCAAATTGACGAAAAAGGTTTTTTTCGGACTTACTTTCCATATTCACTTTCAAAGCATAAAAATCTCACGTAGCCACTGTTTTTGAGTGATTCAGTTTTGAAATATGGATAAAAAGTTTAGCATTAAGGTCTACCAAACGTTTTAATTTTTTCTCCAGAAACCTCTTGCACTATTAACAACGGTGCCTGCAGTCACGTGTGCAATGACACAGACAGTGGTGTCGTCTGCGATTGCCCTCAAAACTTGGAAATGGGAGATGATGGGAAAACTTGTGGTATATATTATAGTAAAAATCAAGCATTCTACCTACGAGAACACATGATATTGAAATATAAATATATATTATTTTTGAATTAAAATATTCTATTTTTGTTGAAAAAATACCGAATTTACCTGTTTTTTAAACCGCATGTAAAGTGGGGTTTATATTAATTCTAGACAAAGACGTGAACGAATGTCAGAACCAAACTCCGCCATGTTCCAAATATGCTGACTGTACCAATACATTCGGGGGTTACACCTGTACCTGCAAACTCGGATACTTTGGGGACGGCTTCCAATGTTTAGGTGGGACGATAAGTATCATAGGGCTTACGTTATCAAAGCAATATACATGTAAAAGAGACACGCTAGCTCATGTTCTTGTTAACAAAGATAAAATATATTGATTTTTCAATATGAACTGTTGCCGTTTTCAATATACTACAAATAGAAGTAACCGATATTTCCTTCAATATCTTTTTCAGAGGAGAAGGCCACTGACCCAACAACCAAAAGGTGAGATGAGATCATTTTACAACGATTCAGTTATACCATAAGTATATACATGTAATACCTCGTATACGTTAGTACACAATGTATTATAGTTTCACCTGCTATGATACTAGAGATTAATAACTATACAAACTGCTCTTGATAAAAAGTTATAGTGGTGTTGGATTAGTTCAAAATAAGAAACCGTCATAAACTGATGGCAAAGTTGAATAGTCTGAGATGTCAATTTCAGAAATAGGTTGGCTTTTGGCACACGTATCGAACCTGATAAAATAAACAGCCATAGATTATCAACAATAATATTTACAGATGTGAATGTCGTATGAGGGCAGAAATAAACAGCACGTCTCCTGGGGCCATACTCTACGAGTTTCCCACCCTAATCTACGGTTTTAAAGGGGTTTGGGTACTGGAGCGAAACGCCACCATCCCTGTCCCCGTTACTGACCGCTTCCCAGATTTCTACAAAACCCGGCTGGTGCGACGTGAACTAAAGTTACCCGATCTGTACACCTGTCTACGCGTCCTTAGAGACTGTCCTTTTGATTGCGAGAGATTGGCTAAGATAACCTTAGGCGACGAGGGACTTGCCAAGAAATTCCCGGTTAAGAACTCTGCTGGCGTCGATGTTAGGAAGTCTTTGGGACAGATTTCTTGCGAGCGTTTCGGTAAAGATTTCCTTACCCCTGGCAAACGTGTGGTGACATTCTACAACCCTCCTCGTGAGTGCGGCAAAGAGGCGTCTACCCACGCATTTGACCAGCGTCTCTGTTGCTCCAATTATGACGTTTCTTATATCGGCTCTTTTAACGCCTGGAACCATAACTGCACCAAAGGGATGTCAATTACCGATATCTTTGGTTAAACTGTAAATGACTGTGTTCTTTTTAAGTATGCGAGATGAGTATAGGTGTTTTTCGGGCGTCACTGTTTAATAGCATACAAAGATGCATTTTATATAAAAAGTTGGAAATAGTTGTTGCTGATTAAAGTTTAGGCTGTATGCTTAACAATATATAAGATTAATTAGTTTGAAAAGAAGGACATGATATCCACGCAGGTGACCGGTGATTTACTAGAAGTTTAGGGATGGACCTAATCGTTTATTTTGATAATGTCACAAATTGCCGTGGAGTAATTATTTTGAAAAACTCATCAATTATTTGTTATAATCATAAATTGATTATTAAGCTTGCCTCAGGTTAGTTAAAGATAGTGTTTAGGATATAGTTTTGGTTTTCTATACATACATGCATATAAAGGCATAAGATAATAAGTTGAGATGGTAATTGATTGTCATATAAATTAATGAAATAACAAAATGGAAATTTCCGTGATCTGTATGTTAAATGACAAATTCGAACAAGTAGAAGTCCGGTTGTAAAACATGTAATCAGAAATAGCATAGCACACATACAGAATATTTGTTTCTTCTGGTATGTAATTCACACGTTATTGTATGAAATAAATTATATTATGTTTTTTTTTTTATTTTCTTCTGTTGGTCTATTTTAAATAAGAATTTTTAATGAAATAAAAAAGATTAATACGTGATCCGCACATTAAGTGAACAATTCCAACAAATAAAATTCTGGTTGTAATAATCCGAAACAGCAAAGCACGCGTGCAGAATATTTGTTTCTTCTGGTATGTTGTTCATACTCTATTGTATAAAATAAATTATATATTGTTACCTTTTGAATTTCTTCGGTTGGGCTATTTTCAATAAGAATACTTCTCACACGTTTTTCATGAGAATACATGCTGTACTTGCTGTCATAACATGAATTTCCTCTTAGAATTGGCAGCCGAAAAATGTGGCTCGGTTTCTTCCGTATAACCACAGTAGCCAAAACCAAAACCTTTAAACAGAGTCTCATTTTTAATCTTAAAATATCAACGCAAAATTGAAATAGCTTCAATTAAAAGTGAAACAGAATATACTGACAGCAGATGTTTACCCCCAAAATCATTAACTGCATAGCCATATCCACAATCGCTGCATGGTAGAAATACAGACACCATTATATATTTATTTTGAACATATTTATTCAAACAGCTTAGATGAATATTTAGTAAAAGGTCAGATTAAAATCTCAAAAAGACATTGCAGAAAGAAAGTTAAAATGAAAATGCTAAGTAAGGAGATTTTGTATATGTACAACGTTAGGAAATTAAACGTCTCTAATATAGCACAGAATTCAACGAAGAAATCAAATTTCTATAGTTTTAAAGTAAAGTCTGAGATATCACATAAAATTCATAAAAGATATATTCACATGCACGCTCATTTGTAATTCTTATGGTGACCATGTTTCACACACACACACACACACACACACACACACACACACACACCTCTTACATGTACCCTCACCCTCTATCTCTTTCTCTCACTCTCTAGGTCTTTTTTTTTTTTTTTTTTTTTTTTTTTTTTTTTTTGACGAACATTAAGTTATTAAGTTAAAACACTATTCATCTCAATTGTTCTGCCATTAATTTATCGAACGTCTGCACCACACAAGGTCGTGCTGAAAAATCGCGCATGATGTTGACCACTGGCGTTCAAAGAGTGAACAAATATTTGCCAGATACCTTCTTATACTGGATATCAATAAATTGCTGTTTTGGTTAAGTTGTTGTCAAATGATAAGATGAAATTTTGGCAAGGAGCACTTATCTGGGACTTTGATCAGAGCAGCATCTGTCCATTAATTCGGACACACGTCGTCAACATACGGCGCCAGTTAACCTGTTTGGATCTTTGTCCCATGCCCTTGTCGAAAGGTTATCACAGAAGCACTTTAATCTTAAATTCAGTCATTGTATCATATTAGAATAAGGTTTATGCAAAACCAACTTTGTGTGATATATTCCGATTGATTATGGTACGGTTTGCAACATTTAAATCGACAGCAGACAGTTAATTTATTATTTAAAACTCCGAAATCGAACAGCATCGTTTCAACTTTTAAGTGTGGGGCTATCGAGTAACACCAGTTTTGGTTTATTAAAAATGGTATCCAAACGATTCTCTTTTTATTATATTATAAATATTTAGCGCGAATCACACCATTAAAACATCCCAATGCTCAAAAATATTTTTTACTTGCGAAACATTGCTCTAAAATGTATTTCATTTACATATTTTGCTCTTTGATAAGCATATTCCATATCATTTATGTAATGTATCATTTATGTAATGTATCATGATTGGCGTTGGGTCTATGTACATATTTGTGCCATCAAACGAAATATCAACAAACCATTTTACCAAACAATAAACAAAAACATATTTTCATCAACCAGGGTTGTTTTGATGAAACATCTTCTGGGACTTGTTTGCCAAAATCCACTCCAAATATAGATATACTTCAAATGTTTTGATCAAAGTAAATCTTCCCATATCTGACCAATAACAACAACAGCGGTAAACAAATATTGACAAAGAACAACTGTGATGATAAATAAATCACCAAATGTGACATCAGCACTTCATCACACTGTTTTTCATGACCTTAAAAGCCACATTTGAGGACAGGTGGAACCATAACATAGATAAGGTCAATTGAGAGTACACAGCTTCGAGGACATGTACTTAAGCAAATATACGTACAGTATATGTCTTGTAACGCACTGTACAGGTGTTAAATTATAACGATTCTGCAACGATATGGGTTGTAAAGGTGTAACTATTACGGTTTTTTAGAAACACTATTATTTAATTTAACATATTGAACATAATGTAAGACAAAAACCATCGTTTGGTAAATTCACTGTACACGTTTCCACCATACAAATCGTTCACATAAAGACTTATTCTTTGGCCACTTTTTGTTGGTGATTTGAAATGAAATAACATTCAAACGTCTCGTTTTTATAACTGCACATCAAAAGATGTTATTCATTTATCTTTAAAAAAGGAAATTTAACTTTCAGAAGTACGTAAGTCATCGCGAAATGTATCCTTATGGTCATCTCTCACCATGTGATATTCAATGCATAAGGTCTAATATTTCAATGTAAATCTTATATCGTATTACATAAACTGTTATCAGCTATATCGAAACTTGATTGATAAAAATACCCTTGAATGGATATACCATCTGCCACATTTCCGTGTACTTCCGTGTAACTGATTGCCATGTTTATAACGTCAAACACTGCCGATTGTATGTCCTTTGTCTCTTGAGACCTTTGTCTTCAGGGCTTAAGCTTATGGGTTGTTGTGGTGGTAGGGTTGAGGGGCACAACATTTTTTGAAAAAAGAAAACTTTTTGGAGAGTTAGCCTCTAATTTTTTCTCCTAGTCTATCAGAAATTTCTTTTTTGCATTTTTTCAGCGTCTAGATAATTATAAGTACCATAGGCTGTACAAAGCATCAGCCTGCATCTATTTTAGTCCTTCGCGGTTTATGGTTCAACGCGCTTGGTGTGAATCCCAATGACAGTTTAAAAATCCCGATGAACAGTACAGTACACACTCGGTCTTGTTCGTTGCTCTTTGTACCCTTTGCAGATATATTATAATATGATTTCAATTCTGTAAGCACAAATGTAATCCGCAGTTGTAGGCACTTCGGTTACATGACTGACGTGTGATATTAAAAAAAGAGGGGGGGGGGGGGTAGAAAGCCAAAACACAGGGGACAAAAACTGACTTATTATAGCATGTTAATTAAATGTGCGGTCTGTATATAATCAGCTATACAAAAATCTGATAGCTTAAATTGGTATCTACTTAGTATAGCAGATCAGCCGAAGTCTCCTTTTCACATTTTTTTTCAAAACTACGACGATCTGTTGACAAGTGACAGGTGTTAGCAATGCCTTAGGGAAGTGGGAAGATAGTGGCCGTAGTTTGAATTTGATTATAACAGCTGTTAAAAGTATAATTTAAGGATTTTCCCACCTTCGGCAATTTCCGCAAAACTTCGGCATGTGTGGCAGGTATCATATACTGTCGTTAACTCTGCAGCAGATAGCAGTATTTGGTGGCTGAGCGGTAATGTTCTTAGCTGCCAAATATGGCGGAGTGGATTCGATTCTCACTCAGACCATTTTTTCTTTTCTTTTATTACTTGTATATTTATTTTTGTGAATATAAGATTTTCACACATAATATAGTGTACAAAGAGATTCTAAAAATCGTGTATACTAATCTCTTATGGTTCAATGATTGTCGTGACAGGTATCAGCTAGTGTTATTAAAATGTACCGGGTATTCAAACGTTCATAGGAACAACTTAACAATTTAACCTAGCTAGATCGAATTTCATGGTTATTTTCTCGACCACTGATGTAATTTATAAGTGAATTTAGTCAATGCTTAAACCCAGAGTTACCTGCTGTGATAGGCCTACTATTACGAAAGGACATTATCTAATATTCAATTCTCATGAAAAGCTATAACCAGCAATGGTTAAGATAACGCTCAAAATGGCCAGGGTTAAATATTTTCTAGGAAATAAGTCGCGACAAGTTGCCCTCTGTGATATTAAAATGGAAAGGCATTATTTATTGTTTCAATTTTGGTGAAAAGCTATAACCAGCAAGGGTTGAAATAACGCTAAGAATGGCCGGGGTTAAATATTTTCTGAGAAAAAAATCACGACAAGTTTAAATTGTTACCATCCACATGTAGAGTTTTGAACTGGTTTTAAAGATATGTTTTTACAATGAAATTCATATGTTTTGTACAGTACGTGGTACGGTACCAGTACATCAAAAACCTTTTCTACTATTTAAAACATTTACTGTGAGTAAGCTCCTACAGAGCATACCTTATGCACAGATTTGTCCATCTAATCAAATTCATCCTTTTTCTCTTTACTACTGTTCTAAGAGACCTGAGCATTTTCCTGCCCACAGGCCTGGTCCCTTCTCCACAGCAGTTAGATCAGTGCTCGTGTTAGATGCTACCTCGATAGTCACATAACATGAGCAACACAGCACGCTGATCCAGCTGCCATATATGCACAGTTATAATGCAAAGAAGAGTAAATGCAATACTCGTCGTAATGGTAGTCCCCGAGGAACCGTAGTCTGTTCCCCATTACTCAGACTAACCTTAACCTGTACTTATAATTTGGGACCCCGGATTTCCATTCATGTCACACCGACTCGGTTTAACCTCCCTAGCTAACCACAAACATAGGTTACAGTTTTTCTTTTTAAAAAGTGACCTTTTTAAGTGAAATTTTTGTACTGGACAGATATCAAACTGTTAAAACTGTTACAGTATGTGTTTCAAATATCACACACAGTGAATGATGTAATGCCCATTGCTATAACAGTGCGGTGCGATAGTGCAGTAGATAAGTGCTCGTGCAGTGGCTACGCCGACGCACTTTATAATAATATAGTCAAAGCACAGTCTTGGTTTAGCAGAGAGAAAAAGTTAAGGATTTTCAAACTGTCGTGCAATTGATGGAATGCAATTTACATCATTGTTAAACTTAAATTCGTAGAAGCAATGCGTCACCTTTGAGAGGCCCCCTCGGCAATATGGAGAAACCTATCTTCCTATATATGCTGATAAACAGGTCACACATGTACAGTGTGTGTGTGTGTGTGTGTGTGTGTGTGCGTGCATGCATGTGTGTTTCACTGTCGTTTATAGTGGTTTGTAAACGTCTTTATGTCGATTGTGAAGACACGTTTGCTAATAGGCACTAATATATCCGCGAACCTTCAAACCCCCTCCCCCTTAAATGTAAACCAGTTATTAAATGAGGTAGCCACCAGAAAGTATTATTATGTCCTCTGTAATAAATTTGGTTTCAATCAAGTGAAATAAGTAAAATATAAGAAACACAAATATCGCAGCTTTGTGTTAAGGAGAATTAACTGTTGTACAATAACTCTGCAGGTTTCTGTACCTACACATTTTTCCTTCTAAAAACTGCATTTAATTTTCGCAATTTTCATTCATTCAAGAGAATTTATTCACACCATTTTGTTGCCATCTCTCTCTACCCGCTGTGATCATGAAATTCACTGTGTAAAAAGCGCAAGATTCTGCCGTGCAAATTTCAATCTCAGTTACAGAAGTGTAAACTAAACATGACAAAATTACAATTATCAGAAGCAAAATCTGTGAATCATAAAAAAGGATGCTACCCTGGGAAGTCTCGTAAATTTAGTAAGCAATTACTTCAACTGCTTTGATTGAGCAATCTTAATTCCTTCCTCGAGAATACAATATTTTAGTTCATATACAAGAAGTTATTTTTCGTAGCTTTTATCCTGAAGCTGTGCATTTAAAAAAAACAGTCTTAAACTGTTTTATCCATACAGCTTTTACTGTTTTTAATACAACGACGCTTTCAAGGTATTTTATTCCCGATATTGAATAATTTATGTATTTTATTGGCCGAATAGACATGTATCTTCTATTATATCCTTATAATCAAATTTCGTAAATAAAGGATTTCCAAGTCCATGCCATTTAACAACACTTAAAGAAATATCTTGCATCCAAGAGTCTCCCAAGCTTAACGTATCAATAATGCAAAATATAGCAGTCTGTTTTTTAAAAATAAATTAAATACAACTAAATTCAAGGCACAATTCCCAATCGTCATCAATTTGATGAAAATTTATTGTACCTTCATTGAGCATCCACTCTCAAATATACCGAAACTAAAAATGATTCATTAATGTACCTGCAAAATAATACCGAAATCATGTTTTCATGTCACTACTTTTCATGACTCAGTCTGTAAAAAGACTATTCTTACATCATAGATTTTTCCAATTTCTTAAAAACGTCCATTATCTTAAAAATGTGCATTGCTCATTCCTAAAATTTTTGTTTAAATATAAAAAGTCTGTCACATTTGGTGTTTGATAAAGCGGTAATACCCAGCCCTTCTCATATCATGACATATTTTATCAGTGTATATGAACTTAAATATTCACACTTTTAACCAACGAGGAGTTCCGACAATTTCACTCCTCCACTACACTTCCGGTTCCAGAAAGTCAATTTACCAATGCCGGACACGTCCTCCGAGTTGCAGCATAGATACGCCTCTGATGCGTACGTACTTAACTCGTCCCCGCAGTCCTCCCCGGGATTATAGAATACCACCACTCTCTTCCCTGGGGGGTCAATGTGATGGTTGTACGTTTCGCACATGATCTGGCCCATGGTTTTGTAGACTTGGTCGTGGGCCGAGTTCTCCACCAACAGCTTGGTCTCGAACCCGAGGGTATCACCTACGATGATCCTTGCTAGGCGTTCGCAGTCGGTAGGGCAGCTACGGAGCACCTTGAGACAAGTGAGAAGGTCTTCTCGGCTGCCAATGGCCTTGCGTCTTCGCAGTGTGTTGTAGAAGTTGGGGTACTTGTCCGTGATGACATAAGCGGCACTCTCGTTGCCATACATGTCTGTAGCCCACAAGGTCTTGTGGCCGTAGATCAAGGTCGGGAGGTCAAATAAGATAGGACCCTGAGCTGTGCTGTTGGTTTCAGCTCTAAGTCGGCATCGGCAACTGTTTGAAGAAGGGCCAAAAGGAAAATTTTAAGTAGTTAAAGTTATAACTGTATCATGAAAAGTTACCTGTATAATATACTACCAGTCATACTGGTAGTATGGCATGTCAAGCTGGTATATCTACATAAAGGAAAACTTTCTGTTACAAGTGTACTTTTAAATCGAAATTTCTTGTTAACGAATGAAATATAGAAGCATCCAAGACCAATGTTTTTACGATGTTCTGAAAAAGGATTGATACTACTAATTAGAAAAAATCTGATACTCACTGTCTGGTGTTTTTGTCTGTTGGCCTTTCATCTAAAATGAATATGTTTTAACAAGTAATCTTAAATCTTAATTTTGATCTTAAAAGATGAATACTTATAAACTTAGATTTAACTGTCTAACTGCCCTCTTGATGTTCAGGATTTAACAGTGGAATTTTTTATTATGATTATGATTGGACCAGAACCCGTAAAAACAGTTAAAGTTATTATTTAAAAAAGTTTTTTCAAACTCTTATAAAATGCTATAACGTTTGAAAAGAAACACCCTTACCATGGCAATTAAACCCATCCCCAGCATAGCCCGCGTTGCACACGCATTTAAACGAGCCGTGGGTATTGATGCACGTTGCGTGCTGCGAGCATGGGTTTCTTTTACACTCATTGGCGTCCTGGTCTGAAAATAGAAAAATGACGTTAAAACAACCATTAAATTAACGCCAAAAGTTATGCGACATTATCCACTAAAAAGCGCTGGTCCCATGCGAGCCGATGAAGGAAAATATGCACTGAATAGCGTAAATTGACCCGAAGTGACCTCCAATATATAGCACCGCTTTGTATGAAAATCAATATGAACTAAATCTTTGTTTAAACAAACAAAACCACAGAACAAGATAACATTCGTGTGAACACATACCACAAGTAAGTTTATCATTCCCCAGCTCCCAGCTGACGGGACAACTGCAGATGGCGCCACTGTTACTATCAGTGCAGTTGTGACTGCAACCGCCATTGTTGATGCTGCATGTGCTTACTGAAATGGAAGAAGATCAAATTTCTAAATAACTGTTATTCTATGCATTTAAATATTTTCAAAATGTTGAAGTCAAAGCCAGGGGCGGATCGAGGATTATTTGAAGGGGGGGGGTCTGCGGATGCGAAGCCGACCTCCCACCAACCCACCCCCGTTGTCGTGGGGTTCAGCGGGTCCCTAAAGGTTTTGGTATTTTACAAGGCGAACCGTTTTATTTGGTACGGTTTAGTACTATAAATCAGCTTGTCAAAATTCTACTTCCAAGAGTGGAATATTAGTGTAATTTTTTTCAGAAACTGAAGAAAAAGAAACATTAAATCCGCCACTGGTTAAAGCCATGGTAAACTATAAATAGAAATATTCCATGCATTCTGTGGAAGTTGAACACGACATTTTATTTTTAGTTTCGTTTTTTCAAACTAAGCTTAGTTCTTACTGCATGTTTTGTTATCTTTTGCTAACACCATGTTAGCAGGGCATCCACAGGATATTTTCCCCTTGTCGTCTGCTTTGCAGAAATGGCTGCAACCGCCATTTTGATGAAGGCATGGAGTCACTAAATGGAATACGATGAAATATAATAATTCAAAGTAGGTAGGCCGGTCCTGTATATGCTACATCCTGTTTTGAATTTGATCGGCTAACATAAAATATGGCATAACATTGGATAAGGGTTTCCGATATAAAAGTCAATCAAACAACTAATTATTTCTCCCACATGTTGTTAATAATGTAGATCTTGTTATGAGAAATAAAAAAAACATATTGAATTATTAGCTCATCTGTATCTCTGTTAACACCACACACAGACAACATAAACTTACAGGGCAAGCATGTAATTGTATATCATTAATTTAATCGACTTTAACCAACACGAGCTCTTACATGTGTATGTACTGTACATGTGTATGTACATGTAGTTAGTGTCTTACCACAAATCTTCTTAGCTCCCGCCAGAACCAGGCCGGATGGACAGCTACAAGTGACGGTAGCATTCACGTCACTATGGCAACTGTGGCTACATCCACCATTGTCTATGTCACATGGAGATACTGAAAATGGAGGTTATGTAATCATATTACAGAGATGGGTTGGGATGGATCATTTAAGTGTAAAGCAAGTGTATCTTTTAATGGTATGTGACCAAATATTTCCGGAAAAAGATAATATAATTCATCAGTTTACATGTACATGTACCTTGTATAAAACATGGCCTGCTTGTATATGCTGACTATATACCGAGTCGTAATCCAATTAAACTGCTTTAAAATAGAGATACCCAATGAAGTGGCCAAAGAACGTCCAGAGTGCGTGCATGTTGTACTCGTCTTGGACGCAGGGCGTAGAAGCACATGGATGTTTCTTACCGCACGTGTTCCTGTCCTCCGCCAGCACCAGGTTGCTAGGACACGTACACACTGGGCTCCCTTTGTCACCAGTACAGCCGTGAGTACACGTACTGTTCAGGCAGGGGTCGCTGGTGTCTGTCACTGGAAATGTAGAAAAATGTGCATACTTACTACATGTGCGATCGAAATGGTTCTCAAAGATCAGGCCGTGTCCAAGCACACACATTCGAAATACACTGTACTTCCAGCAGTTATAAAATCGGACACCCACGCTGGCGATAGGAATTCTGGTATACATGCAGTAATTAACATTTATTCAATTAAACCAAACATCTGCCACAGGTATCTAGTCACATCGTTTTGGTATCTGTTTCAGGAAGGAATGAGAAATGAATAATTTTATATTAAAATTTAAAGACTAATTTTTTTTTTAATTATAAAATATAGAAGAAAAAACATTTTCGGTGCAGCTATCAAACTGCTCAATCAAACAAGAATTACGTCTTCGGATGTACATTGTAAATACCTCCGCACATATTAACATTGCAGTAATGCCACTGGAACTGAGGGAACTTGTACACATAGTATCCTCCCGGACATTTCCGCACCAAGGCGTAGTCAAAGCTGGTGTGAGAGTTATCGTAGCAGTTGCAGCTGGAGCTAGAGGACCGAGTACATATTTTTCGTTTGACGATGCCGTCCTTCGCAGTTGGGTGACCACCTAATAGCCATCGTGTTCTACCACTTCCTCCACAATGATTCCAGGACACACACTGGAGACAGATGGCACAATTTTTATTTACATGGGTGCAAGTAGCGGAGTTAACATGATTTATTGTTAAACGATTTTCTATTTTGGATAAGAAGGCGCAAAAATATCTTAATTGTTTTACATTTTATTAGTTGTTAATTGATGTTGATCCCAGACAACCCGACTTGCCGGCACTTAAAAGTGTGTCCAGCTCGACAACGTAAATCTAACGAATGCCTTTGTAAACCTTCAGTAAATTAGATGCGCTACTGAGAAATGAGGGCTAGACATACAGCTTAAAACCGCATTTAACATGCTTTACTATTGTTCAAGAGCCATTTGTTAACTTGCCGAGTCAGCCATCCGGTTGCCTGCTCCTTTCACAAACCTGTACCAGCCTTCGAAACTTGTCATATCGTCACAATAATTGTTTGACCCATACTTTGCATTTCTCCATTCTTGATCCAGAAGCTTGTATCCTTCACACGGATCCACTAGAAATTTCATGCAGCGTAAACTAACCGAGTATACTTTGTTTTGCTTTGGATTTCCAACTATTCTAATTTTCATACTCTTAAATCGAATAAAACGAAACAGAAAAAATGATATGCAGAATGATGCAGCATTTTTGTATATTTCGAGAGGAAAATAAGCATTGAAAGCTACGTGGTACAGTGTATTCCCCTTTGTACACGTATTTTAATTAACATGACATTACAAATGTACATACCGCACGTTTTCTGGTCCTTGTCTAACTCCATGGTCTCCGGGCACTCGCAAGTTTTGCTACCAGCTCCTGATGACCGACAAGTATGGCTGCACCCGCCATTGTTATTTGAACACGGAGATACTGAAAGTAAACCACACCAAATGTGCCCTCTTGTGTATCAGTAGCAAATTCAAATATGTGCGTAACAGATCTCTCTTTCTCTCATACAAATTAAGTTTTCTTTACAAATCTTTTAAGAAACTACAGACTACACCAAGTGTAATATTTTTAAAAAATAATTATAACTACTGTTTAATTGTCAAACTAATATTCCCACAATGCAATAGTCCAGTTTTAAACTGAGAACGCGTAAAACTAACCCAACAATGCTGATTTTCTAAAGTAACCCTTTTCACCAGACAATGCTACTCTGTTAATGCAATGTATAACCATAGAAGTAGAGAACGAAACATGGTTTAGCAGTAATAGGAACTAATGTTTCGGGTTGCGACGGAAAAGACACGGACCGATACAGTGGTCAGAATACCCTGTAGGCCTATATACAGACACAAACAGTGTCTGTAATTGAACATCCAAAGATGAAATGTGTCAGGATAACTGCACATAAACAAGAGCTACCTTTTGGGGTCAGGTGATGAACTGAAATTGATAAATTACAGGTACTTGCATCTTGCACCATGGCATGTACAGGTACTAGTACAGTGTGCAACCAGCGAACCATTAGCATAGCTAGGTCGTTCCATTGAGTGATATCCAATCAAATAGTTCAACTAATATGGCCCATATATAAGGAAAAAAGAAAAATGTAAAGGTGAAAAATGAAAACAAAGTTGAAAGTCTTAGTGGAATAACAAAGAAAGAATACATTGTCGTCCTGTCCATTATCAGGTTCAGAATGGAATAATGTAAGTCGAAATGGCCTAACAATAATAAATCCTTAACTGATATACGTGTAATTGGTCAAAAATGTAATTTTTTTTTTATATTTTTCAAAGAAGAAAAATCCACTGTCATGAAGAGAATCCATAGTCGTGTATAATCAAATGACCCATTATAAGGCTCAGAACACAAATATTGTTATCATAGACAACAGCCACAACGTGTTTGAACAACAACACACAAAAAGAGACTCCTTTGGTCAAGAGAAATGAACAAATATCATTCATCCATCACGTTATATATTCATTTTGAAACTGTAATATTGACTGTTAATGTAATTACGTGATTATATGTCGTAATAACGAGATCGCTATATTGTAATTATGACATTTGACACTTGTAGGCTCCCGTTACAAACGTGTATTGTACGTAGTAAAAAGCTACTCACCGCAACTTTGGTTTCTGTTGGAGTTGAGTATGTTAGCTGGACACGTGCACTGCGCCTGTCCATTCTGGTTGACACACCCGTATGTGCAGTTGCTGTCTAAGCACGGGTCACTGGTGTCTTTAACTAAACAATTTGTAAAATATAACATTATGTTGACATAAATAATATTTAAAATTATTTTACTTAAATATGTAATCTTAAAGGGTAATGGTTCGTTAGACCCAGTACAAATCAGCCGATTAACAGTGAGATGATAACATGTAAATATTACAGAAGGTATTGTGTGTTTCTATTTATGTCTCGTTTTTTACAAAAATTTATATAGAAAAGAATAGTATGATACTGATTTGTTTACGTGGGCAAGAAATATTTCACACCACGACCATGATGACGTACTAGTAGATGTGCGCGTCACGGTATGCTGGTAGTGCTTGTGGTAATAGGTAAACAGAACTATTACCCACTGACGTCATTAAAGAAAAGAGAAGAGAGCATGAAAGAATGCCAGACATATTTTAAATCATACAATGTACCTGCACAGAATGCCCTATTACACATTGCTTGCAAATATGGTAACTTGTACACATAATATCCTCCTGGGCACTTCTTCACCTTGGCATATTCATACACTTGAAGTTCACCACGTTGGGAACTAGTGGTGCACGTGTAGGAGGAATAATACGTGCATAGTCGTCGTGACACGATGCCATTGCTGACCTTTGGATGTCCACCGTACAACCAGATCGGGTATGAAGTGCCGCATCGGTCCTTTGATGGCGCCTGGAATTAGAGACGAACCCTTTCAAGGATGTAAAGATTTTATAACTACATGTAGCTCTATCAAAATCACTTGAGATAACCCGTTAAGCATAGACAAGTTATAGGTTCGGTAACTACCAGTACATGTGCAAGAATGTCGAAATGAGCGCAAGAAAAATAGGACCAATGCTTAGACTTACTGAATCAGGCATCTTGTTCCCAGCCCTACCCATAAAACGATACCAGTCGTTCCACTGGTGAGTGATGTCACAGAAAGCCTTAGAGCCATAGTTGATGTTCCTCCATTCATCAGTTATGGGTTGGTAATTGTAACATGGGTCTACAAATGCACAAAACAGGACCATTACATTTCCTTTACATTTACTTTAACTCTGTCGAATCCACGGGCTTATGACAGAAGTACATGAGGGTCAAGTGCTGCCACAGTTTTATACATGTATACTTGCACATTCGCTCCAGTAGAGGAGACCCCGGGGCTAGTTGGACCCCGGTGTAAGTTGCCCCCCCCCCCCCCCCCATTAAGTCTCTTTAATAAAGTTACGTCAAGATGTAAATGATTTCATTTGGACTCACTGCCGACGCTTTCTTGGCACTATTGGATATGGTCACTTTACATAATGATGTGATCAGTTATTGTACCCCATAGTTACCCAGCGGGCACTCAACGTTGATTCAACATTGAGGATAGGTTGATATGATGTTGATCCATCAATATTGATAGATCAACAAGATCTCAACATTGAACCAACCTTTTCTTGTCAACCAATTGTCAATGTTGATAGATCAAGAGGGTCTCAACATTGAATCAACCTTTTCTTGTCAACCAATTGTCAATGTTGATAGATCAACAGGGTCTCAACATTGATTTTACCTTTCTTTGTCAATCAGTTTTCAATGTTGATAGATCAACAGGATTTCAACATTGAATCAACCTGTGTTTGTAAACCCTTTGTCAATGTTGACATATCAACTGGATCTCAACATTGGGCCAACCTTAACTTTATAACCTTAATCATAACCTTGATAATAGTTTTAAATGATTATCTCACTAGAGAGGTATGCATAGGGGTAATTACCCCTCATAAAACGCTTGTTTTACCCCTTTTTCATTAAAATTAATTTTGTGAAAAAAGCGGTCGTCAGTTTTTTTTTAACTTTCCACAGGTTATCTTTAAGAAAAAGAAAAAAAACATAGGGTCACCAGCCTTACTTTATGGCAAGTTGACAAAATTTTACTCAAGGTTGAAGAAAAAGCTTGAAAAAGCCAAAAATGCCTGTTTTTCTGGAAATTTAAGTTAGCTGTGAGAAAAAAATTAGACTGGTGACCCTTTGTTTTTGTATTCTTAAAATTATCTTAACTACCTGATGTGACGTTATAATTATTTTAGTAAAGCTAATTTGTTGTTTAATTTTTATGAGTAATTACCGTATGTGCCTGCATACTTGTATAATGTAAATGAAGTGCGGGACTGTTATTAAGTGCGAGACTCCGGATAACATGAACTGATGCAACACGTGAGTGTGGACAGTGTGTAACACTTTTACAGTACAAAAACTGTACTTTATTAACAGTACTTTGTGAGGCCACACTATCAGGAGGATCGTTCAACAGATAAGGACATGGAAAACGGTGACATTGCGTCTTCAAAACCCCACACTATCAGGAGGAACGTTCAACAGAAAAGGACTCGTAAAACTGTGACATTGCGTCTTCAAAACTTAACTGTCTACGAATCTGTTAGAATTTAACTGTATTTGACAAATGTTAAAGTTTATGCAACATGATAGTATTACATGTAGTTAGTGTATGTAGTGTATGTTCATTGTTTGTAATATATTATATTCATAGTTAAATTAGTTGTTGTTTGTGTTTTTTGTAGGTAATTTTCCTAATTCCCCCCCCCCCCTTTTCGGATCTGAGTCTTTTTATTTCAAGAAATGCTTGATATCTTGGAGAACACCTTCAGCCATCAGGCAAATTTCAATCAGATATCCTGATAGCCTAATTGATATATCAACGTTAATTCAATTTTCAAATTCAACTTTATTTCAACATTGATTCAACCTTGGTGGTTCAATGTTGATTCAACTTTCATAGTCAACATCATATCAACATAGTTTCAGTGTTGACTGTCAACGTTGATTCAACATTGAAACCTCAAGGTTGATTCAACCTTGATGGTTCAACGTTGATTCAACTTTCATAGTCAACGTCATATCAACATAGTTTCAATGTTGACCATCAACGTTGATTCAACATTGATTCAATGTTGATTTGCCCGCTGGGTACTTTGTCATAAATTGATGGGGGGCCAACTTCAACTAGCCCCAGTCTCCCCTACCCTTCATCCAGCTTTCTGGCTTTAATAAGCGGGGTTCAGTATAGCGCTTCCCTTGATAGTTGATAAAAATTCTAGTACTTAAATGTATTTTAGTTGAAAATCTTCAAAGTTAATACAAAGAAAGTAAGCAACACATTGTAAGTAAATAAATAATATGAAATCCTACCATTTGCTCCTAGAGTTGTCCCTAACATGCACGTGAGAACGATAAGCACTTGATAACGTGTGTCTTTCATGATGCACGGTTGTAATGCGGAATGTTGATGATGACTGACGGCGTCGATATATGACGACTTAAAAGCCAATGACAAGTTGCGTACCATTTATATGTAGGTGGGATAATTGTCCAAAGACTTTTTTTATTGGAAGAGGGGCAGGTAGATATACACTGGTTTGAACAGTTCATTTGTCAAATATGTCATACCAGCGTATGAAGATGCTTCTTTCAGTGTTGTTTTTGTTTGTAGTCAGACTGACAGTGGCGTTTACAGGAAGTATGTTTTCAAGGAAAATTCTGTTTAATGTGTAATTTTCGTTCCCGTATAGTAGTAGAAGTGTGTTCCATATACAGTATTTGTTTATTCGCGCAATGTTTGGTCGAGAAGTAATCAGTTAAATGGTCCATAAACTGTTTTTGTGTGACCTTGTATATCATATAACGCACATTTAATTAATATATATTATCTTACCCCTCTTCCTTTTCACAAGGTGAGCCCTGTTTCGATTACACTGAGCTGAATGAAGCATGGAGAAAAACTAGTTACAGCAGTTCCAAATACTATTCTCAGGAATATGGGATGACCAACGATTGGTTTCGAATAACTGGTGATGCAGGGAATCAAGTTGCAAATACGGTAATTTAATACACATGTTAGTGTAAATCGAAAGACCTTTGTCGTTTGTTCAGTTTGGATATTGCCATTTTGGGTGTTTGTTTGTGTTTGTACTGGAGTATATGCCAGATCCATGTATATTCATACAAACGATTTTTGTACGTTTAGTTTTTGTTAAACATTTATATGATATATTGTCATCTTGTATGCCAGTGCCCTTCGTATGGCTATTGTGGCTCTCAGTATCCAATGTGGATGCTAGGGGACCATCCAACGACAGCAGAAGGAATAGTAAAACACACGCTGTGCTCCAGGGTCTCATCTAGCTACTGCTGTTACACCCCGGGGGAATCGTCTAATGTCAAAGGAGACGTCATCTATGTGAAGAAGTGTCCTGGTGGATATTACGTATATCGAATTCCAAACTTGAAGTATATTTGGGGCTCCAGGTCTGTTTGTTCGGGTACGTTTAATTAAAAAGATTAAAAAGAGATTATTTGCTGATAGTGATTTACAGTTATATTGAACTGAAACTTTACTCTTGTGTTGCACTTTATTTTAATGTCTCAAAAGCGTGGTGTTCATAAATGTATATTCCAGTTAAAACTACCGAATTAAAGGTTTTCTTGGTATCAGCAATAAATAATTAAGGTATAGATAACGCAATTGGTTAGTTTTGAATACTGAATGGTCATGATATATTTAATTTCTAAAATATTTTAAATATTAATTTTGCGATATGTATTTTGTTCATTTAATTGATCGACAACAAAGGCAAACATACAGAACTGATATAACTTTTGTATTTACATATTTATGTCATGCTTCTCGTTATGAAGTGCAGTTATTCAGTTTGTTCACAGAGTGTAATAAGTGTTAATTGCTATTTTAGCATTAGTGAAATATGTTGTGCACATACATGTAGTTGAAATATGTGATCTATGAATAACTACTACAGCAAAGGACAGCGGTGCCCCATGCCTGGACAGTAAGTACATACGGTAGTAATCTCCACAGTACAGTGATCTACCAGTAAGATGAGCTATGATTTGTTTTAGTAAATGCCAGTGCAGTAGGACATATTTTCTGCTTCAGTGAAGGACAGCAGAGACCCGTGCCTGGACAGTAACTGCACATATGGCTGTGTTAACAACAATGGAAAGTTTGAGTGCACCTGTCCACCTGCTATGGTCAAGTCTGGGGACAACTGTGGTCAGTTTTATTTACCTCTTGTTATTTTTAGTCATATCACATATGTTCAAAGATAAAATAACAACTGGCATCACAAGGATTTAGTAATACTTAAAAAACGGAAGAAATCGGTTTTTCGAAGTATTCTGTTACGTTACTTGTGAAAATCAAAACGTCTTATTTCAGATATCTGTACCTTTCCTTCTTATTAAAATAAGTGGTGTTATACAATTGAGCATTCTGTAAATGTTTTCACATATGAATTAACGGATATAGGAATAACAAGTCTTCGGATGAGATTTATGTTTCACGAAAAATGCTTTTTGAGCAACTCACAGAAATATAATAAACTCCATTTTGTCACCAAAACAGCGTTTATCGCAATTATTCTAGAATTTGTGCTTGCCTGCAGGCCACGTAGACCTTCATAAATGGTTAATCCTCCGTTATAATATCTTAAGGAGATAATTACAAAAAAATCTAACTTTTAAGAAAAAAACATGGACTATCTTTCAACGTAGGGATGGTTCAATTATTTTTGGTAAGTATGGGAAAATCGTCGTTTTTGGACAAAACGAGTAGTTGATATCCCTTTAAGTACAGGTTTAGTGGAACTACCAACAGGTCCACACGAGGCCTCACGTTGGGACAGCACATATCTTGATTCACACCAATCACGTCAAATTACACTTACTTTGTTCTCCAGTGTTACCATGCCAAGTCAACAACCCTGGCTGCAGTCATAAATGCGTCAACCAAGCTGATGGCACAGCTACTTGTCGCTGTCCATTTTACCTCACCCTGGGCACTGACAATAAGACGTGCAGTGAGTAAACCTAGAAAAATCTCTGTCTGATGTCTGAAAACGATTAATACTAATATTGTGTGTGTGTGTGTGTAATACACTAAAGTAAATATTTGAATTTTCATATTTATTTCTATAACAAGAACTTCAAAAAAATAATCTTATAACTACAT